CTCGCTTTGGTGGTGCTTCTGATGATGCTGCTGCTGCTGCTGCTGTTGCTGTTGCTGCCTTCCATGTCCGGCGGCAATTGTAATTACCGCAGTTGCGCCTCCCGTCCGTCGGGGCCAACGCCTTCGCCAATTCCACACTGAGCGGAAATGGTAGCCATTAACATTGGAAATTCCAATTTCGATTTTAGCTTAGCACTTGGAAAAGCAAATTGTAGAGAAGCAACTATGGATAGTCAATCTGGGTACCAATACATCTTAAAAACTGACCTAAAATCGTTTTAAATTTCTATAGTTTCCAGTGAATTAAATCATATATTAGTTATTTAATTTTTATGTATTTTTTGTAGCTCATAGATGATCCTTTTCCCTCAGTGCCCAGCTGGACAAATGCGCAGTAGCCTGGCATTTCAGTTACGCCTGCAGTTTGTTATTACGCGCATTATTTCTGCCGCAGCCCTTCGGTGTCCCAACCCATCTCATCCGATCCCAGCCTCTCCCAATCTCTGGGATCCCCCTGCTTTTGCCCCTCCTGATTGCATTCAGTTAAAAGACTTCAGGGCAGAAGACATTTTACATTAGCTGCGCATTCCAAAAATCCGCTCCCCTCGAGGTTTTTCAGTTTCAGTTTTCGTTTTCGTTTTCGGTTCATATTTATTTATTTTCATATTTTTGTCGTATTTTTTTTTTTGCGATGGAAGAGAAACTAATTAGAGTAGACTTAATGGAAATTCTTGTAGTTATTCATAATTTAGTTAAACGTTTAGCATACAATGACAAAGGAACTGCCAAGAGAGTTCCTGGAGACTTTTAGTACAATAATGAGTAATGTTTTTATATTTTTTTAATTTTTTGGGCAGCTAAGGATTGTCAGAGTGTGTGTCTTAAGGGGAAAGGGAAGTTGAATTAACTTAGAACTTAGACTAACCAAGCCTTAGTATCTGTACATAGCACCGCAAAGATAAAATCGAACTTAATAGCACCTTAATAGCAAAAACTGGAAGATCGGATTGGGGTTGGGTTCTGAGTTCGATTCCCTCTGAGGAACCCAAAATGATAGCATAATTAGCAGTTGGAAGTGATTCGATTTTGTTCTCAACTAATATCACAATGTTGCTCGCTGATTCTCTTCACTTCAATGCGTTTTCGATAAAATTTTATTAGTATATATCGTAGTTGATCTTTTGATTCTGGAATTCTTAGGACTAGAAGGCAAATGTAAGCTAAGAGTTGAAAATTTGAGTCTTTTGATTAGCTATCATAGTTATTGCTTTAATGTACATAGTTTAGTTTTGATTTCTGGATTTAAAATGTCGAAAAGCGCTATAAAAATATTCCTGAAAGCGATTCGAGTAAAATTTACTTGAGTTTAGTTGAGTGAAGGATTTTTTTGTATTAATTTTAAAAGGTTTTTTTAATTAATTTTTTTATGATTTTCTTTGATTCTAGTAAATGGAGTTTTATTAAAAAATACTTGACTGGATGCGTTTAGCATTTAATGCTTAAAATTTTTAACTTCTCAGAAGCGTTAAGTTGAAAAATCTTAAACTACGATTTCTTATTCTTGTTAAAAATATGTTACGTATATCTGGTAAATATATTTATATGTATGTATATATATATATATGGGCTATCTGTTGTCATTTATTGTTTAGTTATCCATTAGTCAAAAAGTTGATTAGGCCTGGCAAAAGTCGCACAATGTACAAGGCAAAAATTTCTATCTTACAGTATCTCAAATTGAGTTGTTACTTAGTTATATTTAGTTAGTTTTTCCTTCTTTTTTTTGAGTATCAAAAAGTTGTTGTGTTTTGTTGTTAAGGCACTTCCGTGTGACGGAAATATATAGCACTATATCTAAGTGTAAATCTAGATCTATATTTCTATATTTATGGGCTTTGCTTCTATATATACACATAGACCGTTTCGAAGGCCCCAGCTTAGTGCCCGTAAATCTCCGCCTGGCAAAACAATCACTTGGAGCTGATCCAAAGCCAAACTGAATTATGTTGATGGAAACAATGAATAAACCGACGGAACGCGACAATCCTGCACCGCACCAAAAACCCCTGACCGTCCTGGCCAAACTTCAAACTCAAACTCAATTTTCGCGCTACAATTACAAATGACGGCGATAAATTTCGCGAGCGGAGACAAAAGGAAAGTTGGATGCCAGCCATCCCCAGCCCCCCTTGAATCTGAATCTCTGCAAGGCACCCCTTTTTAACCCCTTGTTGCCCCATTTTGCGGAGAGGAAGTGATAATAAACGCACGACACGCGCGCCTTGTTTAGAGATTTATGCGTGCCACGGAATAGAACCGACTGAAAATAGAGGCGAACGCTTAAAAATAGTGCAACTGCTGCACTCGACTAAGAGATGACTTCAAAAAATACAACAATATATATAAAATTGGTGGCAAAATATGTATAAAATACTTTTTATAAAATAAATAAAATAAAGGTCAATCTTTAAATATTGTAAATGATATTACAAGTCTAACACAAAATCCCTTCAAAAACTAATAAGAAGTAGCAATATCAGTGCTACTATTTATAAAAATTAAGATACTGTATATTTTCTATTTAAAATATAAGTTCCTGACCTATTTGTAGACCCAAGTTCCATATAACCCTGCATTACTTAATCCAGGGTATCCTTAAAAATAAGGAGAAAAAATCCGCTTGCAAGCTGCAAATAATGTCAGGCTATGGCGATGGTGGCCAAAATGATGCACGACCCGAGCGGATTATGCAATGCGGCATCATCACATCTAGGCCCGGCTAATACAGTCCGGCCCATAAGTCAGCCACAGCTAACCCCACTCCCCGTCCCCGGCCCTGTCCCTGTCCCGCTTTGCAACAAAAAGTGTGATGGAGTGCAACATGCTAGCTGCAACACGCGGCTACTTAGCTGCCCCTCGCCCTGATTTATGGCCCCGGAGATGCGATAACTCCTCCATTTTAAGCCCAGCCCCAGACACAACACACACAATGTCTGTCAATTGGGGCATTTTCACTGCTTAATTACACTGGAAAAGCCAAAGGGGCCGGGAGGAGGGAGGCAGAAAATGGAGGCCAACTGTGCCACCAAAGTCTGCAGTTCGTGTTTGTTTTGCAACCCCGCACTTATTAAGGAATTAATTTAGTCATTGCAAAACAAGGTCAGACATTAGCCGCAAACTGCAATGCAGCAAAGGACCTGCCGTCTTCGCCTCTCCCCACCCTCACCTTGCAATCGCTTTTCACCCACATTTCCACCCACTGCAACTCCCACGCCGTCGCCGTTCTTCGTGCTGCGAGGCCATTAAGGCCCCCAAAGAAAATTTCCATGCGAAGAACAAGGACTTGAATCGCCTTTACACAAAACACACCTCCCCCATCCACACCCCCGCTAGTATCGGCGTGGGAAAAACCTGCCGAAAAGCCGCGCCAAAAGTGGGGCTGCGTGCCAAAATGCAGTTTCGTGACCGGCGAAAAGGAGCTGACTGCGCCTTGTAAGCGATTCCCATTGCCTAAAAGCTTGTAAGCCAGTTTCCGGCTCCGGCTGCGGCGACTCCGGCCAAAGCTACGACTTTAACTCCGGCTAAAGGCATACACCACAAAGCACGGAAAAGTATAGGTTTTAGGCTCATGTAAAAACAGGAAAAAATATATATGAGTGAAAATCCACAAAGCCAAATTATACCCAAATTAGCCAGACGAAGGCTATACTTAAATATTTTAAAACCTTAATTGAAACAAACAAACAATTTGGGTTTTGGGTGCTAAAAGTAAAGGTCTATAAAAATTGTAATATTAAAATATATTGAATTTATAAATAACAAATACAAGTATCTGAAAACTATAGATAATATCATTCTAAAAGCAAAATGAAAGAAAGCTAACTTCGGGAACCCAAAGTTTGTATACTCTTGCAGTTTCAAATTGGATCAGGGGCTAGAGTTAAATTAGACTATAACTTAGCCAAATCTGCATACTGCGTTTGTTGATGAAATTATAAGTTTCTGACTAAAATTATAAAACCCTGCAAAAAGGTATAACAACAGAAAATTGTTCCAAAAAATCATAGTTTACAAATCTCATAACTAAGCCAAAAACTCATTAATTTTAATTTGGAAATCTGCTCAATGCTAGTTTTGACTAGATTAACAAATCTGCATACTCAGTTTTTAAATTTAAAAAATTCTATTTTTTGTCGATTTTTGAAAAAAGCAATGATGTAACCCCTTATCAAATTTTTAAATTTTGACAAAGTTTCGAAAACTCTATTTTTCTCCCAGGCATGCCTAAATCGAATCTCCTTTTGATTCTGATCAAGAATATATATGATTTATAGAATCGCAAATGACTCCTTCACTCATAAAAATTAAAATTCCCTCTGCAAGAATATAATAAAATTTAATAATTCAATTCAAATAATAACAACATAAGTTTTAAATTCTGTTTTCAATGACATTGTCCATCGGTGTAGACTTTGTTTTGTTTTATTTTGTGAAAAACGTTTTTGAACTAAAATCTAATCATAACCAACTAGAATAACATAAGTTAATAATTTATTTAAACGTTTAGCTAAGAACTAATAATCAATAAGCGGGAGTCCGGGGCATTGTTTCATTCACTTTTTTTGTTTTATAATAGATTTTATAATAAATAACGAAAAACTTCAACTTGAAACATGGAAACGACCCCGAAGGGAACTCCCGTTTTGAGGGTTTGTCCAATCCAATGATGGTTTATGAACTAAAGAAAACTTAAAGGTTTTTATTTCATTTCATGAAAACAAAAAGTAGTAATAGTTTTGAGAGGGGGAGTGTAAGTCAATTGCAAATTACAATTTATAATTTAACAAAGTGGTTTTTGTTGAACAAAAAAAAGGAATAGTATTTTTTTGTTGCTTTTTAAAATCTCAGTAGAAATGAGTTTTGTTTGTTTGTTTGTTTTTTTGTGCCCTAGGGAGAATTCTTTGTCTTTTGTGTGTTTGTTTTTTTGTGTGTGTATAACTACAATTAAATTAAATTAAATTAAATAGAGTACAATTAAATTAATACAAATCGTTGTGGTAAAAGTTTACATGCTGCTGAGTAAGGTTACCAATAAATTAAGAGTTAACTAAATAACTAATGTCAATTAGCCTAGGTGTAGCGAGTCTAGCTTAATAATTTCAGTGTTGCTCGAAATGCTGTGAGATCAGATCGGCGGGGGGATCTGATCGCTTCTAAAATGTACGTTTTGTATATTAGATATATTAGATATATGTATATATATAAATAGCCTAAGTTTTGTGGAACATGGAATTGCCTAGCTGTATCGAAGATCCCGGCTATCTAAACGCATTGGGGGTTCAAGGGGGATCTGGCAACTAGAACTAGTTTAAGTGCTAATACGTTGGGTGGTCGGTCTTGAGTGTGCTGCCCTCTCCTAGCTATCCTTCTTAGTTGATGCTTCTTTTAGCCTATTCTTTAACTGTAGGTAGTAATAAGGTTCCTCAGTCTTCGCAGAGATTTCCGGTACAAGTACAAACTGCTCTAGTTAATATTAATCATTATAATTTCTTCTCCTTCTAGCACTAAGCTGGGTGTCGGGGATTCCCCCCTCCTAACAGGTCATGAAGCGCCTGCTGTTAGCCAAACAGTGTTAGGCGCTCTCCGTCTTGACCACAATGGGCATAGGTCCGCCCAGGGTCAGGCCCGGCTGCGACTTCTGCAGCAACTCCTCTTGGAGCAGACTCATCGGGTTCATGCCCAGCCCCATATTGAGGCCCATGCCCATGCCCATGTTCATGTTCATCTTCATGTCGAGCAGCGGATGGGAACTGGGGGACTTGGGCTCCTCCAGTCGTTCGCCGCTCCGGCGGGACTCCCTCGCCTCGCGACCTTCGCGTCCTCCCTCACGACCTTCACGGGATCCGCTTCCGCCGCCGCCCCTCGACTCGTACCGCGTGTGCGTCCTCATGTGACGCGTGATCATGTCGCGGCGACAGGCGGCATATGGACACTGCGGGCACTTGTAGGGCTTCTCGCCGGTGTGGGTCCTCTGGTGGGTGGACAGGTGATCGGAGCGGGAGAAGACCTGACCGCACACCTTGCAGGTGTACGGCTTGACGCCCGTGTGCAAGCGCATGTGACGGGTGAGCATGTCGGAGCGGGCAAAGGATCTGCGGCAGACGTCGCAGGAGTAGGCTTTGGCAATATCATTGGCGGGATTTCGGGACTTGTGGCGCGATGCCATATGCTTGGCCAGGCGGTCATGCAGCGAGAACATTTGTCCGCAGGTGGGGCACACATAGGCCACATCCGAACCGGGCGGCATCTCCTCCACAACGGGTGACACATCCAGATTGTAGCGCCAGGCCACCGTTTCCTTGGTCGTGGGCGAGGCCACATCACCCTTGATCACGGGCACACCCACCGTGGTGGTGGGCACATGCGGATGACCGTGCATCTGCTGATGGTGCAGTGGATGCAATGGCATCTCCAGCTTGATCATTGCCGCTGCTGCCGCCGCAGCCGCTGCATGGGCTGCGTTCATGGCATTCGCATATGGCGAATTGGGCGGCGGCTGGTGGTTGGGCGTGGCAGCGGTGGTGCTGGGCGTATGTCCCGAGTGGCTACTCGACGCCGGCGACAGGGCATTCATGCTCTCCAAGCTGCTGGCCGCACTCATGGCCGGCGGTGGCGGCATCATGGTAGCCGAGGACGAGGAAGGAGGGTTGGACTCTTGGTAGGATGATTTTGAGCCCGACTTTTTGTACTTCTTGATCTCCATGTCGCTGCGCATGCACAGATCCAGCGGACGCTCCTGTGGCGGCGGCATGGGCTTCTTGTCACCCTTCTTACCCTTCGGCTTGGGACTGGTGCGCTTCTTGGGCGCTCCGGTATTGGTAGTGGTGGTGCTAGTGGTGCTGCTCGTGGTGGTATTGGCTCCACTATTGGTCACCGAGGATTCGCTGCGCGGCGGCGAGGGCAACGACGGCGGGGGCGAGGCATTGGCCAGCAGGACGTGGGGCAGCATGTGATTCGAGGAGGCGGAGGCACCGCTCTTGCGCTCCTGCAAAGTGGGCGATGTCTCCGTTTCGGAAGCTATCGAGGAGGGCGTGTGCTGGAGCGGCGAGGGATAGAGATCGTGACGCCGGCGGAACACCTCGTTCAGATACTTGGTGTGCAGGTAGTAACCGAACAGGGGCGAGGGTATCGGAAAGTACCGATCATAGGGGCTGGGTATCTCAGTCTTGATGTCCACATGCAGCGGATTCTCCTTGTTTAGCTGCTGACTTGTTGGATTGGAAGGATCCAACGGCAGGTTACTCTGCGCCTGCGTCTGCAACTGCAGAGGACTCATGCTGATCCTGGGACTATCCTGATCGTTGTCATCGCTGTGCGACAGCTCTAGATCCTCGCCGGAGATGTCCTCGTTCTCCTCATTCTCCAGCAACAGCTCCGGTTCGTGCTCCTCATCCTCGCTAAGGGGTTGCTCGCTTTTGATGTACTTGGCATGATGCACCTCAGTGTCCTCGGGCTGCTCCTCCTCATCATCATCGTCACGTAGGGATTCCTCCGTGTGATCCGCTTCATCCTCGTCCTGCTCCTGATCCTCTGCATCCTCCTCCATATCCATGGGTTCCGTCTTGCAGGCCAAGCCATTCGAGTGACCATCATCATCATCATTTTTGTTGTTGTTGTTGTTACTGCTGCTATTGTTATTGTTATTATTGTTGGTGTTGTTGTTGTTGTTGTGATGATGCAGCTTATCCAGCACCGCCGATAGCCTCTTGCGCTTGCGCTGCTTCCACGGCACCACAATATTATTATTGGCCACACTGGCCTGGTTGTTGTTGTTGATGTTGTTGGAGTGATTGGTGGCCACCGCAGCAGCCACTGCCGCCGCAGCCGCCGCCTGCTGGTGGAGACTGAGTGCCAGCGGCAGGTGGTGCGGATGCGGCGGCGGCGGATGGGGATGATGATGGTGCTGGTGCTGGTGCTGGTGCTGGAGATGCGGATACGGCAGCTGGCCATATGGGGCGGCTGCTGCCCCGGGCGCCGGATACATATGCGGTAGATACTGCTGCGGGTGGTGGTGGTGATGCTGGTGGTGGTTCAGATTGTGGTTGAGGTGATGGGGGGGCGGTGGCTGCGGATGGGGATGGGAGTGGGTCAGGTGGAGCGGGTGGGCATGGTGGTGCTGAGGCGGTGGCGGTGCCTGCGAGGGCGGATTGTGTGGATTCGTGTGGTGACCATGCCCCATGGGGTCGGTGCCTTCTGCCATCGTCATGAGGTCAACTTTTTGTGGCTTCAGCGGCGGCGGCGGCGGCGGCAGCGGCTGCGTCTCCTGCGGAACGGAGCCTCCAACGGGTTGGGATTGGGATATGGTTGGACGCAGCAGCTGCTCCTCCTCCTGCTGGGACGAGCACAGCGTGGGCAAATCCACGAGCAAGCCCTGCAGCTTGCGAGGCCACGGATTCTTGCGAGAGACCTGACGAAACGATTTGGCCTGAAAAAAGGAAGATGGAAATAAATTTAAACATTAATTAATTATTCAGAATAAGCAGTATCATTAACATTTTAGTACCTGCATATGTATTTAATTAAAATTACAGCCTACATAACTCAACGCATTATTTGCAATGTTATAAAATTCAAGGTCATGGGGGAGTCTCAACCATGACATGGCACTTTCTTCTAGACCAAACACACATTTTACCATTCTTATTAGCACTTTTACCTTTTGAATTTTATACTGGGCTTAATCTATATAAACTTAAAGGGGAGCACACACAGTTTTCATATTTCACTTAAACAAAAACAAAATAAGCATAGTTTTACAATTGAAAACACCACCCACCATATTTTGTGTTAAATATATTTAGTACGTATTAGTAAATATAAGGAAAATGAAGGAAAACCTCGCACTAATCACTTTAGTTAAGCACAGTAATCCTTGAATGCAGATTTCTTTATAAATGATTAAGTTTTTCGGAAGCTGCGCGACAGGTTCAAAGAGTGAAGTTCTTCTGCCACAAAAAAATAACCGAAAATGTTCATCTCCATGCAGATACTACTTGCAACAAGACTGCTTTCTCGCTCTGACACATGGACATTAAAGCCTAGATACTTAACATTAAGCCATCTCTTTCTTTACCAACGAAAGTGTTGCTAAAAACACTGAGTTGCCGGACTGACGACACTCCTACGCAAAGAAATTAGGTTAAAAATACAGTTTATAAACATGAGAAATGTTATTATTTCATAAATATATAATATAGAATAGCACATCATCAAAGATCTTGCTATTTGAATCGCACACCTTACGTTAGAGTTGCCAGATGGCCACAACTCCTACACGAGCTTTCGCTTCTACGTAACTACGTTAGGGAGAAGAAGAAGATATTTCCGGTAAATATAAAATATGTTTGATTTTTAAATATTAAACGGGAACGGAGAACTGGTGGCAATCAGTCAAGCATCAAAATGCTGCAATTTGTCGGCGTCCGTTTGAGTTGGCTTTCAGTCAAACAAATAAATAAGATAAATTTTGTGCTGAAGCTGCCAAAAAATGGAAGTAGAAGAAGCTAGCCGGGGAAATAACGTAACGAGAAGACAGATGACAACAACGGCGGCGTTTACGTTTACGCTGCGTTAGTTTTATGCGTTTGTTAGGGGAATGGACGGGATGCCCTCTGAGTCCAATACTCTCCACAGTCTCCAACTCCCCGCTGTGGGAATTTTTATGGCACTGCCAGCAGATTTTATGGCGCTTCCAAGTTTATGGGGCCTTTGGATTTTGGCGCTGCCTTCGCCTTCCGCGACCTCCTCCAATCGCCCCGCGTGTCCTCTAAGCTTCTGGTCAGCGAAATCAATGAAGGAAAGGCGACAGGCACAGGACAGGAAAGGACAGCGCACTGGACGACGACGACGAGGACAGTTGTGGACGGGATTGGGATGGCACAAGGATCGCATCGCATCTCGCCGTCTGGCGCCAACATTCGCAAATAATTAAAAGTTACCACACACACATGGACGGTGGCGTAAGGGGGTGGGCAATATGGCCACCGAACTGAAAGCAGTTGGCAGCCCCGCAAAAGGACAAGGCACCACAGCGACAATAACAACAACACCAACAAGAACAGGAGCTACAACAACGACGGCACGTCTGGAAGGACGTTTGCTGCATTGCGCTTATCCTTGTGATATATGAATATTGTGCACACACGCACGTAGCTGCGAGTTGGGGGCCGGTGCAGGACCTGGAGATGGAGCAGGAGCAGGAGCAGGAGCAGGACGAAGCTTTGTGCTGTGTCTGCCATAAGCCGTCAGTTTATGGGGGAACCACACCGTTTTTACACAGCAAAAAACTAGTAAGAGAAACTAAATAAAATAAAATCCTTAAAACGGATCACAATTATTGGAAAGTAGAAAGAAAGGCAAAGTTTCTATATCCTTTCAATTTGCAATTTGACCAAAAGGACGAATGATGTAACCCCTTATTAAATTTTCAAAATTCGAAACATTTTCAAAATTTTATTTTCTTCCAAACATGTCTAGATCGATTCAGCTTTTGATGCTTATCAAGAATCTAAAAATATGATTTATAGGGTCGGAAATGACTCCTTCACTAAGTTTCAAGCTTCTGATTAAAAGTGAATTTAAAATTTGTTAAAAACTCTACCACTTTTAATAATTTTCACGAAAATCCCAGATTACCTATTTATTTCTTGCAGTGCCCTCTGTTGTCGTTGTCCTTCCGTTTGGCAATTTGCGCCTACAACTATAGTTGGGAGTGGGGCAGGACATTGGGTCAGGGCTAAGAGTAGCAGGAGTCCATGTCCTTAACGGTCACGTGTTTGCTTTACGTGTTGAGAAAATGAAAAGAGCCGGGTGGACTCGTGTGTGTCGGTGTGCCGAGGAGAGGTGTTGATGGCCCAGCGACAGGGACACCTGTGTCCATCTTTGCCAGTCCATCCTAGCACCTTTCACCCCTGGCCTCTTGGCCAGTTAGTGGCTTGCTATTGCCATTGTTATTGTTGTCGCATATGTCTGCCCCTTTTTTGGCCTTAATGGAGTGCGTGTCCTTTGTGCCTCCCCCCCTGTTTTCTCGCTTTTTTTTTTAAAGTTGTGTCTCTTCTGTGGCAACTTTTTCGATTTCGCAACTTAAATGGAAAAACGGGCAGAAAGTTTTTGCTTTTGCATATCATAATTCATGTTCTATTTCCGAGAACAGGGTCAGAACAGTCCCCTCCTTCCTTTCTCCCTTTATTATCCACCCGAAGGGCAATTAATATTCTTAATTAGGGTAATTAAACAGCGCAATGCTGACAACTATGCGAAAAACTTTACACCAACGAATGTTGCCACGGCATGGGCTCCCTTTTCTCCCTAGCTTTTCCTTTTCCCCCACTTCTTTTCCACAGTGTCCCCATGAACAAACGTTTGTATGTATATTTCATAAAATAAAATGAACAAAAAGCTGGAAAAAAAGCATAAATTTTCACGCCAGTCGGAGTTCTGTGTCTCTGGGTTCCTTCACCAAGGTTCCGCCGCTTTGGGCCTTGTTAGCACGCGAAATCGGGGATCGGATTCGAGGGAGAGTTGTCGAGATTTTGATTTATGGCTGGCGGAGTTTGGATAAACACAAATATACCAAGTATATCTGTATAAACGGTTATACACTCTTTGCCAAGTGTTAATTAACTTGCCAAAAGCAGTTGGCCAAATCGATAAAGTTATAAAGGGAAAGGTATATGGTTTTATAGGAAAAACAATCATTTCATCTAGTTGTATATTCTACATTTATATATTGATTGGAAATATCTTGAAATTTATTGTCTAATTGATTTAGTGTAGAATAAGCACAAGAATTTAAATATCAGTTAGTTTTATTTTGTATTTCCTTGAGGGTCTTAGGAAAGAGTATCCCCTAAATCATAATTAATTCCTTCTCATTTTCTCAGAATTTTTGTTTCCAGTTTGGCCGAAAGATTACATAATGGAAGAACGAAAAATACAGAATGGACTTGTCAGGCGATGGTGGCGGAAGATGGTGTGAAATTATGCTAAATGAAGTGTTAATTTTCGGCCACGGGTGGAATGACTTTCCAGAAGGGGCTCCCCCAAAAAATATGCATGTTTGTATGTATATAAAATGCGGGAAAACTTCCAGATTAAATGAAGCTTTTTCTAAAGTGTAAACATGGCGCTAACAAGTCGCCAGTTAAAGACCGAAAATGAGCGGACAGCGAAACATGTTTGTAAGCAAATGTTTGGCAAAGTGGAACGGCGAATGCCAAGTGCTCGTAAATGATCTGAAAAACTGAAAACTGAAGACTGGAAAACCGAAAACCGAAAGCTGGAAAGTGCAAGCCAAGTGCAAACTGCTGCTTAATTACGCCCAACAACGAAACAATGAAACAACGACGGCGAACAACAACTGGGCCCAAACAACTAGGAAGCACATAGCATAGCATAACCACATCGCATTAAATGGCGCTCATTTGTTGTCAACAATGGCTGAACACAACAAAAATTAAATAATAAAAAACTATATATATACAAAAAAAAAAAGAGTAATAAAAACGAGAACCTAGATTTGCCAACTCGGCTTTGTCTTACTGCGCTCGGCAAAACTGCGAACAGAAAACTGTCAGCGGGAAAACTGAAAACTGAAAATGTGCAATGCCATGGAAATCTGATTCACGGCCAGTTTTTGAGGCAGTCCAACAGCCATAAAGGTGGCCATAATAATTATAATAATGACGCCACGCACTTAGCTATACAAAAGAGGTGCACTGTTAAAAAATATGGGTTTAAAGAGGGATTTTGTAGAAAATATAGAATGGATATTATTTCAAAATTTTTATATGACAATTTTTTGCATAAAAAAAGTTTAAAAATTCCATAACTAAGCAAAACACTCACTAATTTTAATTTGGAAAGCTGCTCTGTGATGCATAATCAGTTTTTAAATTTAAAAAAATTCAAATTTTTGTCGATTTTTGAAAAAAAAAGATGTAACCCCTTATAAAAATTTCAAATTTTAACAAAATTTGGAAAATGTTATTTTTCTTCTAGGCATGCCTAATAAGATTCCCCTGTTCATTCTGATCAAGAATCTATATGCTTTATAGGGTCGGAAATGAGTCCTTCACTGCCTTTAAGCTTCTGACTGAAATAATATTACTCTAAAAATAAATATAAATAATTTCTGGCTTGTCTTCACTGCTGAGTGTTTACTGTATTTGCTTGGCATTTGTCACGCTTATTACACACAGCGAAACTTGATGAAGTTTTGCAGTCGCAGTCCATCTTTTCTGGTGACTGAAAGACGCCGCGATAAGCCGCGTGCCATGTGCCTCCTGTGGCATGGCGTCTGTCCCCTCCTTTAGCCCCTGCCAGCCCCCTTTAACCCCACCGATAGACCCCCTCTTTAACCCCCTTGAAAAAAAAGAAATAAAGAGACACTGCCTTTTAAAAGCAACGACGACGACAGTCGGCAGAGTTAAGCAAACAAAATTGCAGAAATTAAATGTAAACAAATTGTTTTGTGTGCGATGTTGCTGTTGGAGTTGTTAGTGTTGCTACTGCGACTGCCTGTTGCCACGCCCCTTCTTCTGGGAGGAGGAGGGGAGTGTGTGGCCATTAATCTGGCAAATGTCTCTGACGCCATTTAAGCCACACTTCACTCGAGTTTACTTCACTTGTCTTTGGTCGTAATAAACGACATCATAAACATCAGCATTCAACGTGATATGCATTGATAATGGACGACCAGAGCTGTCAGGGGGAAGACGAGGAAAACTTCAATCACAAGTGCAAAGAAAACACCAGCAACAGCAGCAGCAGCAGCAGCAACATCGAGTCGTTGCTGGAAGGCAAACAAAGCATGACGGGGCAGAAATATGGCTAATAAAA